TTGTGATGGGGATGGACGATCTTTGTGTCGAAATTTCATTATCTCCAACACTTTCACATTGTTCTGGAGGTTGACAAGAGCTGTTTTGCCCCCTTTTCGACTGATAAACTTGTGGACAAGATGGTTGCTGCTTGTCCAATTTCTTCGAAGCGATCTTCGAAAGGCATTCCTCACAATCTTCATAGCAAGGAGCCTTGGTCGAGAAATTGAATAAGTCTTCGAGGAAGAAAAGATCCCGCATGAACGATCTTTGTGTTGAAATTTTCTTATCTTCAACATTTTCACATTGCTTTGGAGGTTGGCGAAAGCTGCTTTCCCCCCTTTCTGATTGGTGCACTTGTGGAGAAGACATATGTTTCTCGTGCAGTTTCTTTGAAGCGACATGAGTCCATCCTTCAATTTCACTTGACTTGGAGCATGCCCCCAACAATCGAGGTGAAGACTTTGAGTCGAAAGAGCCAGAAGTGACATCTTTCTTAGGGATTTCATCTTCAGTGCCATCCTCTTGGGTTTGTTGGCATGAAGATTTACCAGTGTGGACGATGATGCGCCTCCTTACCTTCAGTGGTCCTTTTGTATCGACCTCTAGGATTGCTTGGCGCTTCATCCTTGAAGGAATCAAGCTTCGAACGTCACATTTTTCTGCTAGCCCATCGAACTTTTCTTCCTTTGGTGTTGTCTTCCTCTTTCCAAAAGGCTTCTCATTATCTTCAAATCTTTCCGAAGCTGATCGTCGTAGAGGAGAGATAGCTGTGTTGCTTTGTTTCTTAGGCTTTAACAACCTTTCAAAAACAGAGCTTTGGGATGTTGGCGCGCTAAGCCTCTTGAAGACAGAGGTTCGGCCTTGACTACCAATGCGATTAAGCGCTGAAATTCTGGAGCTTGAATGGCTCATCCTATCGAAGACCGACGACCGAGGGGCGGGTTTAGGCTTTTTTTGGTCTTGTTCAATGCTCACGCTGATGTGTTGAGCGCTAGCTTTCTTCACTTTGCTTGAAATCTTCACGGGTGCATTTGGTGTGAAGCCAAGTCCGGTTTTGTTGTTGTCAACTCCGTAACCATGCTCCTTCAACTTCTTTTGAGTTTTGGTGAGGTTACGTTCTTTGTCATTGACGGTGTTTGAAACCTTCTTTCCAAGATTTGAAGAGGAAGCAAAGTCATGCCTAGCCTTTGACATGGGTTCGTAGGCATTTGGGGTAAAGCCTTCTTCGTTCTTCTTAGTTGGAAGAGAGCTTGGTTTCATTTTGATGCCATGCTGTGCCTCTAGACGGTTGATGAGTCCGGCGGTTTGCAAGTTTTTCTCCTCTGCAGTCCGTGTGAGCTTTGCGATTGCTTCATTCATCTGAGCTAGCTGCTCCTCGATTGAAGTTACTCCAGTGGTCATGACTTGCATGGTTGTACTGCCGCTCGAATCAGCGTCGGAGAGTAGGGACTCTGAGTATTTCCTCAGGCTTTCCCCTCTTGATGCCCTTAGCGAGGCTAGGGTGATCACAGGCTCGTGCCTCAGGTGCTCTTGTTCCTTTGACAGAGTTAATGCAGGGGCGGAAGCCGCAGCAAAAAGAGCTCTTGCCTTACTTCGGGTTATGGTGCCCGAAATATCACCACTTGCGGTGATGATGTTCTTGTTCTTTGCTTTGATTGCAGGAACAGCTTGATCCTTTCTTGATGCCATTTGCGTTTTTCGATGATTTGAGGATAGAGATGAGAGGTAGAGATGTCCCACCGGGCGTGCCAAATTTGTGAACACGAAAGTTCCTTGAAACAAGAAACAAGAATACGTGTACAAAATAATATTTTGTTTGATGATTTTGGGGTTACGATCTCTCTCAAATTTGGTCCTCTGATTCTATCTTCGTAGGGTGTAGGTTTGTGGATGAGTGGTTGATCCAAAGGGCCGTCGGGGCTTGATCTAAGGATGAACAGTTGATGAACGGATGAACACTTTCTTCAAGGGCCGTTGGGGCTTGATCTTGAATAATGGTTGTGTGGATTTCTTCAAGGGCTTTTGGGCTTGATCTTGAAGGTTGATGGATGAGTGGATCTTCAAGGGCTTTTGGGCTTAATCTTGAAGAACGATTGGATGTGTGGATTTGTTGAGGTTGTTGATCCAAAGGGCCGTTGGGGCTTGAGCTTAGGATGACCGGATGATGAATGATGAACGCTTTCTTCAAGGGCCGTTGGGGCTTGATCTTGAATAATGGTTGTGTGGATTTCTTCAAGGGCTTTTGGGTTTGATCTTGAAGGTTGATGGATGAGCGGATCTTCAAGGGCTTTTGGGCTTAATTTTGAAGAACGTGATCCAAGGGGCCGTCGAGGCTTGATCTAAGGATGAACAGTTGATGAATGGATCTTCAAGGGGCGTTGGGCTTGATCTTGAAGAATGGGTGTATGGGTTTGTTGAGGTTGTTCATCCAAAGGGCCGTTGGGGCTTGATCTTAGGATGAACGGATGATGAATGATGAACGCTTTCTTCAAGGGCCGTCGGGGCTTGATCTTGAATGATGGTTTAACGAAGAACGAAGAGAGCTTTCTTAATCCTTCGGAATTCTTGGGAATTTGGATGGTTGGAAGCTTTGGAGTTTCAAAGCTTCAAGGATTTGGGGAATTCCTCTTCTAATTTTGGGAGTAGAGAAATGTATTTGTGAATCCCTTGATGCTTGATACCTTGATGGAGAAACCTATTTATAGGCTTTGAGAATGAATCACCACCACAAAAATATTTTTTTCCTTTCCAAGCATCATTGCCTAATTTTCCCACTTAATGCAATATTGAAATTGAAGTGGTGTAACTTATGGCCTAATTTCCCACTTAACACCATTTTAAACTTGAAGTGGTGTAACTTATGGCCTAATTTCCCACTTAACTCCATTTTAAACTTGAAATGTGTATGCTTTGTCATTGCCCAAATGAGAAAAACTTGCTTTGATCCGTAATGGATTGAAGTGTGCTTGCCTTGTCATTGCCCAACATGAGAAGAAAAACTTGTTTTGATCCTCAATGGATTGAAATGTGCTTGCCTTGTCATTGCCCAAAAATGAGAAGAAAAACTTGTTTAATCCTTCAATGGTATTTCTTCCTATTTTGTTGAGTCACACGCCATGTGTACAATTTGTACAACACGTGGCGTATGCCATGTATGCCTTGACACGTCAAAACTTTAATGCATTGGTGAACATTTGTTTCACCGAAATTTCGATGTCTACAGTTATGTCAAATTAATTTCATCCTGAGCAGTTGGTAATAATCAATAACAAATCCCAAAGTTAACTGCGCATGCGCACATTCGAATATCAGTTTTTCTTTACGTATCAGAAAATTCGTTTAAGTCGGTTTAGAATTTGGTTTGGTTTGGTTTAGTTCGATTTGCGAACTCCTAAAACCGAACCAAATGAATACAATTCGGTTCAATTTATTTCGGTATTTGTTTGGTTTTTTTTTAATTTTTTTTTCTGAACTCACCCCCTAAAATCAATGAGTTAACCTACTGTAACTCTAAGCGAACTCTACGTTCTACGGAAGTCTTTGGGTTTTTAACATTTTGAATATTTTGAATATTTATTAGCAAAATATAAAAATGCAAAACGGGTGGATCCATGATCCAAATAGCATGTCTTGCATGCATGAACTGCAGCAGGCAGCAGATGTGTGTGTGTGTAATATGAAATTGATCAGAAAAAAATTGCATTAATGTAAATTTAATTAATGAGAGATAAAAAGGTGGCCAAATAAGTAGTAACAACACTTAATTCTTAAAAGGATAAAAAGTTCATTATTTACATCATTGTATTTATGACCCAACAAAAATGGCCTACATGGCCCTTTTTTAAAATTAAAATCTCACCCATCCGTACATATTTAAAAACCAGAAGACCACTACGGTGGCGATGAGCCAAAGCAACAACATCCCAACCTTCGTCGAACGGTTAAACTTGCAGATCCAATCGAATATCCCAAGAAAGTTTGACATAATTTTTTTATTCAGCCCATTACTCCGATTTGCAAGCAAATATATAGTGTGGACTACCAATTTGTTTCGATTTACACCTTTACTAAAAACACGTAAACCCATTCTTGTTTTTTCAATTTTCACCGCCCTTGATTTGCTGGGCCCTGGAGTAGCTTCTGAATATATTAATTTTATCCCTCAAAGTTGTTCATCTTTTCGGGCTTTAACCAAAGTTCTTAATTTACCAAAACTCCTCCTAAAATCTATTGTTCTCTTCAATCAATCTCTTTCATCGTTTTATTTGCTTTGAATCACAAATTAAACACAACGTCAATAATTTTTGTTTTGTTTTTTTGAAAAAATTCACTTTAGCTTGTAATGTAAATGCATTAAAATTTTGCAAAAGCAATTTTAAGGAGCCTGCACCCAAGCCTAAAAAAAAATTGAAGAAACTGAGGAGTGGCAGCCATTATCGAACATGTATTTGACGTTGTTTAATTTAAGTTTTTTGTTGGTGCTGGTTTCTCTACCTATGTGGACAGAATGGGGTCTGCACCTCATTGCGAGAAACTCCGTGTCATTATCGAATAGGCACGATAATTCGTTGGAGTTTTCAATTGTCATTTTTTGGTTGTTTGCAACTTGTAGCAGCTAATGTGTTCTGGTGCTATACCTATATATAAATACTAAGCAACGGGTAACACATATGTACAACTCAAGTTTGGCATGGAAACAATTTTTGACATCTAAACTGCCTAATAAGACATGTCACCTCTTTTTTTTTTAATTGTCAAACCAAAGTGGAAGATGCAAAACATATCTTAACACAGTCACACACATAAATATTTAAAACCAATCGGTAAAAGATAGACAGACAGGGGAAATGAAACGCAGATTAATCTACAAAGACTCTTAATTAATCACTTTGTTGTCCAAAAACAAAGACGAAATGAAAAACATTTTGTAGAACAATACAAAAATATTCAATACAACAACACAACAAATGAACGTACAAACAGTAATTGTTGCACAACATAAAAAAGTTAGGGTTACCAAATGAAACCTGCAACGCAAAATCCCAAGTCAGCAGGACGTTTCCTGCAATCCAAAAAAAAAAGAGAATAATGAGTCTTCTCGTCTTGAAACAATTGAAATAAAAAAAATTGCATTAAAATTAGGCAGCAGAGAAGTCGATGCACAACCTCATATGCACACACAGAGACACAGATGCATACAATTTAAGAGCATTGGAATTGAAATGGTAGGCCAGACAGAATAATAGACAAAATTTAAACTACAAAAAAGAAAAAAATGGACCTTTGAACAGTTAACAGAAGTACACAGGAAACTGAGAAACAAAACTGAGAGCAAGTGAATAAATAGAGGGGCAGAAAATCCCCAAATCGATTAAAAAAAAAGAGAAAAGCATGCTACCTAACCTAACCAAACAGTGTAGAAAGATTTGTAAACAAATTCTGGCCTCTCAATCACAACATGCAAGCTGATATAAATGCAAGTAATAATAAAATATAAATATTTGAGTACGAAATCAAAATGACAAAGCAAACCTGCAAGCAGATATACATGCAAGAAATAATAAAATATTAAGATTTGAGCACAAATTCAAAAGGACAAAGTGACTATGCAAGCAGATATAAATGCAAGAAATAATAAAATATTAAGATTTGAGTACAAAATCAAAAGGACAAGGTGACTCACCTAATCATGGAAGCAGATATAAATGCAAGAAATAATAAAATATTATTTGAGTCCAGAATCAAAAGCAAGAAGTGACTCATCTGAAGGTGCAACAGAGCATAGACAATTGTGAGTGAATCCTGGACTGAGGAACGACAGCTGTTCACGATCCCCACCCTTCGCTCTCTGTTTCTCTCCCCGCATCCCAACGACCCATTCTCTTTCTCTCACGGTCGCCTTCGAAGCCACCGATTGAAAGAAAGAAAGGGGAGTCCAGGGAGCTAGTGGTTGTTTGATGGATTCGAGGCTGGCCAGAGTGGTGAATCGTGATGTGGACTCAGGCATCTCGACCTCTGGGTTTTACGGAGAAGGGTAGATGGTGATGGTTGAGGGAGAGTCGGGAGAAAGAGAAAAGGTTAGTAAGTTAAAATTGAAGACCCAACTTATAATAAAAATGAAGCACAGCCACAAATAATGGTAGAAATGTAAATAATGCAAAATCGAGGGCCCATTTTAGAATAGACTGGTAAAACCATAAATATATGGAAATCTGGTTAGAGACAAAATTACCCTCCTAACCTTTATTAATTACCATCCAACCCAACCCATATCAGATGGGTTTCTTGCAAATAAGATGAAATCGAGTGGCATTTGTTTTACTATAGCCATGAACAGGTCAATTCCCCTCCAACTTTAGAATAGATAAGGGCAACTCCAACGTTGCTGGGTGCTCGGGGGACATGCCAGAGAAAAGGGGCCCGAGATCCTATGGACCGGCTCCAACATGAAGGAGCCCGAGTGGAGGCGGAGGCCCGAGCTCTAGGCTCGTGAAGAATTGCCAGCCCGAGAGGCCAAGTGGATGTGACGCTAGGCCTGACGTCAGCCTGGCGTCAGGCCTTTTATATTTTTTTTTTGTCAAGCGCGTGCACCCCACTCTCGCGTGGGGGCGCGTCGCCGACACAAAATCAGAAAAAATAGTCACATTTTCAGTTACCGTTAAGAAGCCACGTGGCTTCCCACGGTCCGTTCGATCTCAACAGCTCTTCAACTTGGACCGTTCGATCTCGACGGTAAAAAAAATAAAAAAAGTCTTATTTAATATCCACTGTTCGATCTGAGATCAACGGTGAATATTTATAACATCCCACTTCGTCCAGGGGAGTGATCCTTAAATGTATATTCTCATCCTTACTTAGCACGAGGCCTTTTGGAAGCTCACTGATTTCGGGTTCCATGGGAACTCAGAAGTTAAGCGAGTAGCGCGCGAGAGCACTTCCAGGATGGGTGACCCGTCGGGAAGTTCTCGTGTGAGTTCCCAGAAACAAAACCGTGAGGGCGTGGTCGGGGCCCAAAGCGGACAATATCGTGCTATGGTGGTGGAGTGGGCCCGGGAAGTGGTCCCCCCCAGGCCGGGATGTGACAATATTAATATGCTTTATAAATAAAAAAAATTAAAAGAAAAAATAGTTTTAAAATTAAGAAAAGTTATAGTTGTGACACGTGGCACAATCTGGAGTGTTGGAATTCAAATTTTTTTATATCCAACGGTAGAGATTAATTAGTTGAATAAAATTTTTTAAAAAATTGTAAAAAATTCGAAAAAAAATCTGAATTTTTTTTTAAAAAAAATTGTTTTTACTTTTCTATAAATACATTTTCATTATCATCTACCTTACACCACAATTTCATATTTTCTCAACTACTTTCAATCACATTCCTTTCTTTCTCTCAAAGTTTCAATCCATTTTTTTTCAACAAAATGACCACTGATGCAGGTACGAATTTGTCGCTTCTTGAAGATATTGCGTTGTGTACTAGCTGGGTTGAAGTTACTCATAGTTTGCTTACGGGTAATGAGATGCAGTTGTGAGAAATGTGGAGTCTTATTCATACCACTTATCTTGAGAAAATTGGTGGGAAAAGAACCAAAGAATCGATGTCCAGTCGTTGGAAATTACTTAGCCAATCGTTTAGTATGTGGAGAGACGCCTTGGCACAAGCTAATAGTAATATTCGAAGTGGGGAAAATTACTCGGATCAGGTAACAATATATTATTTATTTGTTTGTACTATACCCAAATTTACATTATAATTATTTGTTTGTATTATTTATTTGTTACGTGGATTATATAGAGGATTCAGAAAGGATTAGATTGTAGATAATGCCACATGGCATGCCGTCATTTGTTAAAAATCTGATGGAAATCTATCCTCAAAGATTGTAAACAGATTATGACATGTGACGCGACGTGATTGGTTAATAATCTTATCAGAAATCCATCACCAATAATTGTATTTTCGGATAATGACAAGTGGCATAACGAGTACGATTAAAAATTTTATCAAAAATCCATCCCCAATAATTGTCTTTTCGGATTTTATGGCAAGTGGCGCAACGAGAACGATTAAAAATCTTATCCGAAATTACAATTAAAATTATTTTATAAATAAATAAAATACTAACATTTTATTGTCTACTATCAGGGCTATTGAAGTGTAACGGTGGAGATGCAAAAGGCGATTACTGTTCATTAAGGGCAATTACTGTTCATTAAGGGCAATTACTGTTCATCAGGTGGATTGAATAGTGAATAGCCTGGGGGAGGGCTCAACCACTGAAGTTGCTCTAATGTGACCCATGGCAGACCCACATCCCTGGGCGGGGCCCGCGTCCTAATCTTCTACCAACGCAATACAATATCATGCAAATCTTGACTGAAATTTGCCCCGTTTTAAGCTAATTGGCCCCCGTTAATTTTCGGGTGGTTAATAAACTTTGACTTCTTTCCTAATTTGCGCCATTTATACTTATTCCTTTGCAAATTGTAATAAATAAGTTATTCAATATGAAAATTAGGTTGCCGCTTACAACATAAAAAATATTAATAATAGTGTTTTTCCATATATACATTTTGTTGAATATTTTGAAAGTTAATTATAGCCTTCCCCACTTCGAACCCTAGCTTCGCTCCTGCATGAGACATGGTGGGTGCTTCAAATCAAACTTTCCTTTTTGGTTTAACCACTTGAGAAAAGAAAATTGCATGTGCATGCTAAGGGATGGACGCATGAGTATCATAAATGGTATAAGTCCGAGACCCGGAAGAGTAACAGAGAGATTCAGAAATGGAGGAAACCTGAGGAGGGGTGGATAAAATGTAACATCGATGGGGTGTGGAGTCTTAGTGGTCCTCAGATTGGGGTGGGGAGGGGGGTTATGTTGTCGTGGTTAGGGTGCACACTGGTAAAATTTTGGCTGCCATTGCTGGTCCCATTGAGAGACCCATGTTTGCTCTTCACTCGGAGCTGATTGTAGCCCATTGTGCGGTAGGGCTGGTTTGGTATTGTTGTGCTTTGAAAAAAAAATTACTTCTATTGTTTTGTGAGAATAAGCAATTGTGAAATAAAACACCAAAGTGTTTAGTAAACTTTTTTGTAAAAGTGCTTTTCAAAAAAAAAAAAAGGCAATATTATAGTGTTTGATAAACTTTTATGTAAAACATATGTGAAAAAAAGTTGGTTTTTTAAAGATGGACTTTGCAGCTTTGTGTTTTTGGCTTTTTTTCACCCAAAACTGTGAAAAAAAGTTGAAGCTGAATGTTTCCCAAACATAAAAAAGCTCCCAGCTTTTTTGATGCCCACTTTTTTCATAATCACTTCAGTACCAAACTAGGGCTAAAAGTTGTCCTTCGGGCAATGTGAAGGTTAATTTTGAAGGTGATTCTAGGTGTGTGGTTCTGTTATAAATGATTTGAGATATTTTCTTACGGAATTGTCGAATGCAGTGTGTAGCCATGTCCTGGGGGAAGGCAACTTGGCAGTGCACCGACTTGCTCGAATGGGGATGGGTGGTTTTCAGGATTTGGTGTGGTTTAAGGAGTCTCCGGACTTGATTCAGGACATTTTATTTAAGGAAGGATTGTAATTTCTCTTTATATTGTTCATTTGAGGATAGGCCTATTCTGGTGTGGGACACTCTTTTCCTTCGACCAAGTTAAAAGCCCCAGCAAGGTTGTTATCGAGCCCCAATATGCACATTATCCTCAGTTTGTACGTATTCCAAATCTCTTTAATGAATATCGTACTTTCTTCAAAAAAAAAAAAAAAAAAAAAAAAAAGCGACCCAAAATATTACAGCTTGTAAGAAAAGAAAGAAAATTGTAACAACCTGTCCCCAAAAGTTACAGTCTTCATAATTTTTTAAATGTGAAATTTCGAAAATGCCCTTCGAGGCAAATGCGTTGACTTTTGTTGACCGCCTTGTCGAGTTATGTAAGAGTCATTTTCTTGGTGTATCCTCATAGTACTCATCGTTATGGACGCGTGGGTGCAAACAGAGCGTAATTTAGAGTTATAACGAATGAGATATTAACGTTTTAAGTTGGTGGCATTTTAGTAAATTAATAAAGTTCAAGAAAGCTCTAGATTTTTGGAGCTTAATCTGGGCAGCCACGTGTGTGGCCCTAGATTTAAAGAAAGAAAAGTTGGACGGTGGAGATGAAATATAAAGGAGAGAAAGGAGGAGGGAACCGGACCAATGGGAAAGAAGAGAAAGAGAGAGCCAGAAGGGAAAGGAGGAAAAAGGAGATGGAGGGAATCAGCCGAGTTTCCCTTGACCGGCGCGATAACTCAACTTCTTTGGAGTTTTCCGATGGTTTTTCTGCCCAATTTTCCTGTCTTCTTCAACCTCATATCATCACCAAACCTTATAAAAACACCCCCAACACCTGATTCTCATTAAAACTGACAAGTTTTAGCCTCAATGTGTGAGAAAGCCCACCCACGGGTTCGGGTAGTTCTCAGCTTTGAACCACCATTTGTGAAACAATTCCTTTCAATTACCACCACCAACATACTTCCCTTGAGTCCAGGAACAATGCCCAATCATTTGTTGAAGCGTTGGAGTCGATATGAGGATGAATCAAGAAGCACCCTTTATAGGGTTTTAGGTGGGTTTTTGTGAAATTGGGACATTTCTCGGCCAAATTGGCTTTAATCATAGGTATGAAAGTTGCTCTATTCACTAAGATCTTCATTTTTGTGAAGTTTGAAAATTTTTAGAAATGGTTGAACTTTTTGGCGAGTCGGGGCGGCCGATCGCAACCTACGGTGGCGCGTGGGCCGAGGCATCCCCTGATGTTCCTAGGCTAAATTTGATTGTCCAATTTCGTATGTAAAGTCTGATTGGCAAATTTTCGTCGTTTGAACCTAGTTCCATTAAGGTCCTCCACTTGATTATTATAACAATTGACGATCCGACCGTTGGATCGTCACCAAATTTTGATACATTATAATACGTAACATTTGGGGATATTAAAAACTTACGGATTGGGAATCCGACTTACGGATCTTCCCAAATAGGATATGTAAGTTATAGGTTCTATTGATAAGAATTCTA